ATATATATATATATATATATATATATATATATATATATACTCGTATATATGGAGAAAGGGAGAAACATTATAGTCACAGAATAAGATCAGACAAAGAAAAAGATAGACAGAGAGAGACGTGGGAAAGAAAGAGTGAGAGATAGATAGATAGATAGATAGATAGATAGATAGATAGATAGATAGATAGATAGATAGATAGATAGATAGATAGATAGATAGATAGATAGATAGATAGATAGATAGATAGATAGATAAATGGATAGATAGATAGATAGATAGATAGATAGATAGATAGATAGATAGATAGATAGATAGATAGATAGATAGATAGATAGATAGATAGATCGAAAGAGAGATAGAGACAGAGACAGAGACAGAGAGTAAGACAAAAGGAGCAATTGGGAGGGAGAGAGAGGGAGAGAGAGAGAGAGAGAGAGAGAGAGAGAGACAGAGAGAGAGAGAGTCTGAGAGAGACAGACAGATAGACAGACAGACAGATAGATAGATAGATAGATAGATAGATAGATAGATAGATAGATAGATAGATAGATAGATAGATAGATAGATAGATAGAGCGAAAGGGGAGAGACAGACAGACATACAAACAGACAGACGGACAGATGATCAAGGAAAATGACATAATAAGAAACACCCAGGAAGTGCTGGGTGTCTGAAGTAAGAGGACCTGTATAAAAGTCAATAACTAGGCTGTTATGGGACCAAATTTAACCAAACTTTGATTTTAAAAATCAACTAAAGCGATGATGTGAACTCATTGCTATGAAGAAAAAAAAAAGTATTTTCAAATTTCAACCAAAACTGTAAGAAGCTCGAAACTTTGCAACATTTTAACCAACAATTAATAGGCTGTATGATGTGAAGCACACATTTATATGAAATTGGCAATCAAATAATATGGTAGCAAAGATCAGGAAGGCATCAAGAACTATTGGTAGAGACCTAAGTAACTTTGAATATCTGCACAAGACAAACGTTCTAAAAAAGGCGGAAATGATGCTTAGTGACCATGGGTACCCACTGGCATCGGAATTTCAACTATCGTCCCTGCAGCAAACGATACATTTCCAAAAAAGCAAGAACAGACAGATATAGAAATTTATTTGTACCAACTGCAGTGAGGTTACTGAACCCACAGTGCTACAAATGATTCAGAGAGAGAGAGAGAGAGAGAGAGAGAGAGAGAGAGAGAGAGAGAGAGAGAGAGAGAGAGAGAGAGAGAGAGAGATAGAGATAGAGATAGAGATAGAGAGAGAGAGAGAGAGAGAGAGAGAGAGAGAGAGAGAGAGTGAGAGAGAGAGAGAGTTGTCCCAGCATGTGAGACATTTGTTTTTACTAATGTCCAGTCCCGTTCTGCGTATGCGTGAGTGCACCTTACCTTTGTAACGACAAATTTCTCTCTGCGAGATGAATAAATATTGTCATCTTCATTGTCATTGTCATTAACTCAGGGAAGTGATTTAAATTGTATTCTCCTGGTGTTGACCAATTCTCTCTTTATAATCTGGTGTACATCATTGGAAATTCTGAATAACCCTGCGGCATATTCTCTGTTCAACATTATTTCCAACTGTTTAATTGTTTGTTGCTTTTTCCCCCGCAAAGAATGTTTATAAAGAATCCCAAGTGAAATAATTGAGGGTGTTTTAGTCGAGGGAATACGGTGACCATTCATTACTTGTGAACTTTCGTTCCCACAATCTTTCTTGTAACCTTGCAAGGGCCACTCATGACGTGTGGGGGCGTCAGTCCATCCTACAGAAACTACACCCCATCAACAGCATAACAAATTTTCTCCTTCCATAACATCTCCTAAGCTTTCTCAGCACGGTGCAACAAATACATCTGATGTGACTGACGGTCAAGGTTTTACCGACCCTCCCTTGTATAACCAGAACAGGTCGCTGAATGCTTAAGAAATGAAGTTTTGCGTTTTACCCAAGTTTGGTTGAAATTTTGAAAACGTGGTACCTTTCGAATACGTTGATTTATGTTCTCAATAGTTTAGCAATTATATCATTTTGATGTAATTGGTGTAAAAAATAAATCCTTATTTATAGGCACCCAGCTTTTTGTCATCAGACTGGGTTAGTCTATCTATCTATCTATCTATCTATCTATCTATCTATCTATCTATCTATCTATCTATGAAAATCACTCAGCCACCTTTCTTGGAGAATATCAGGGCTACAGAAAAGAGCAACGCCCAGACAGTTATCATCACGGGGATGTAATGAGTGACGTCCTCTGAGACCCGGAGTCGTAGGTAGGACGCTGTGTAAGTCAGGAGATTGCCGTAGTATATCTGTGAACATTGGGAACATCAGTCTGAGGTTGAACAAAGAGCATAGACTTGTATTTATGAGAACCTAGACCGTTCACTCTCACGGAATTATCACAATAACAACAACAACAACAACAACAACAGCAAGGTAAAATTAAAGGAGAAGAAATAACGCACCACCGCCATAATCACTCTTACCACTATAACCGCTACCGCCGCCACCACCACCACCACCACCACCAACAACAACAATAACAACAACAACAACATTAACAACAACAACAACAACAACAACAACAACAACAACAACAACAACAGCAACAGCAACAGCAATCACAAGAACATTCTGGCTTGTTTGTCTGCTTGTTTGTTTGTTTGTTTGTTTTTATTCTCTTGTGGTTAGGGTACCGGACTCGTAATGGGAAGATTGTGGGTTCGGGGGTTCTAGCCTCAGGCCCGACGTTGTGTTGGTAGGAAAGACACTTTTCACGAGTTTAACTCACTTCTCCCAGATGGGAATGCATACTCGGCCATGGACAGCGAAAGATCTTGTCATTATGTTAGTGTTTTATTTAGCTCTTTTACAATGGTAGTTTGCACTGTATGCTTCCCGGGAAGGTCTGCTGGGGTAATAATGTAGAAGGTAAAAGGAATAAAGCTTGCTGTTGATCCATACAACTATTATAATAACGACATGACCAACGTTAATAACAACAGTAACTCCACGACCAAAAACAAAAACAACAACAACATCACCAACAAGTCTAACAACAACAACAAGAGATACACCTCCACTACCATCATCCTCATCAACATAAAGTGCCTCAAGGCTATAGAGATGGCTAAGAGATTACCAGACAACCATCCTAGAAAGAAAGCCCTTGATCAAGCAGCCAAGCCTAAAAACCGCAGGAAAAGTTGGTTTCGGATGGGCACCGATCTAGCAGACCACCTCCTCCATGAAGCAGAGAATCGATGGCCGATCAATCTGGTGAGAGCTAGTCCATGGGAGTCCCATGGCGAAATCGAAATTCGGACAGAACTGAGAGGAGTAAAAGGAAAAGGTGATGATCCTGTAAAGGCACGTGAAGCAGCTGAGGATGTGATCAAAGAGGTTGGTGCGGATGTGACAATTTTCACCGATGGATCGGCTGTCCCAGGATACCGCGAAGGTGGTGATAATGAATGATGAACCACCACGAACAGAAATGATTAAAACTAAAGGCGCATTCCATACATCCTCTTATGACGAGGAATGCCAGGCAATGATGTCTGCTGCACAATGGATTGCTGACAATTGCCACAGTAGCACCAATGTGCTGATCTTGACTGACAGTCAGTCTCTCTGTAAGGGGCTGCTGGGCAACAGCTCGGACATGAATGATTTGCACTGCAAGTTCAGTGAAGCCAGAACCACAATAAAAATCCAGTGGATTCCAAGCCATGTTGGAATAGAAGGAAATGAGGCAGCAGACCAAGCTGCTAATGAAGCCAGAGAGATTGAGGGAGACAGACGACCAACAACATACAGAGGAGTCTTTCCAATGAACAAGAGGGAAATCAGAGACCCACCATGTAGAACTAAGTGCCAGCACCTGGAACATGTGTATTCTGGGTATTCCTATAAGCGGGAACAAAAATCTATCACATGTCGCTTTGACCAGGTTGAGCTAGCGAGACTGCGGTCGGACCATCGTAGGGGTTTAAGATGGTATAAGAACTTTGTAAATGAAGAGCTCAGCCCATGTTGCCGAAAATGCGGCGATGAAAAGCAGGATGTCAAACATATGTTTGAATGTCCAGGAACAATGGCAATTCGAATGGATTTATTTGGAAGATTGGAGGTGCTGCTAAGCATATTGACAATGGAACCGAAAAAGAGCCTCGCTCTCTCTCGAAGATTTCTTCGTGGAGTTCGCCACGCCCATTAAAGAAACAAAAAAACCCCACATCAATAACAACAACAAGAACAACAAGAACCCAACGGCAACAACAACATCAGCAACAGCAACAATAACAAGCAAACTTCAACCAGTAATTTCCTTACCACAGCCACCACCAGTTCCACGACAACAACAGAAACAGTAACACCACCACCACCAATAACGACATCACATTTATACTACCACCACAACCACCAACAACAACAATAACAATATAATCAACAACAACAACAACAACAACAACAACAACAATGACGACGACATCGAAGGCATAACGACAACACCAATAGAACAGGGTAAACAATAACAGAAACTCCATTACAACAACCACCGACAACGTCTACAGCAACAACAACAACAAAAACAACAAAAACAACAACAACAATAATGACACCACCACCACCAACAACAACAACAACATGACAGGCGCCCTAACGACAGTCAGTAAATTTACTCACAGCAACACCTCCTGGTAAGTTTATCAAGAACAGGCCAATGTACGTCATCCATTTTTGAACTTTCGGTTTCTGAAGAGTTTTGCACAACTGCTTCAAATTGGCAGACATTCTGAGGTTAATTAAGCCAGCCAGTCTCTGCCTCGCTTGTCTGGTTCCTGCTCTTGTTCTATATATTGTTCTTTATTTTGTTTCTATTGTTCCTCTTTTTCTCGTTCTCAATCTTATTCTTCCGTTGCGCCGTTTGTGTAGCTGCCAGACTGTATAAAAAGTATGTCTTAACTCACATAGTTTTGCTCGCGTTTCCCATACAACGTTAGTTGCTTCTGTTACTGCTCTTGTGTACTTCTCTAGTAACGCCCGCTGCTGTTATCGGCGTTGTATTGAGTCTTTGTTTACGTGTCGGGTGATTCAAAAACGAAGTACGGGCAATGCACTATACCCAGGGAAATAAAAACGAATGAATTTCAACCATCTGAACACAGTGGTTGTCGTAAGCGTCCTGTTTATAAATCCACCAACAGCCACGTGTGAGTTATTGACGAGGATCGAACACTTCATAAACAACTGCGGCCACCTGTCGCTCTCAAGGCATCGTGGGAAACGAGTTTAGAGTGAACTTCTGTGGAGTTGGGGGTGGAAAGAGATGGCCCAGAATTATATTACACATTAAATAAAGTAGGGAAAAAAAAAAGAAAATTAAAAAATAAAAGATTAAATAATAATAATAATAATAATAATAATAATAATAATAATAATAATAATAATAATAATAATAATAATCATAATAATCATAATAATCATAATAATAATCGTAATAATAATAATAACAATAAAAATTAGATAATTGTAATAATAATAATAACAACAATATAATAATAATGTAATAAGATACACGTAATAATGATAATAATTATTATTATTGTCTGCTCTAGCGGGGACTCATACGGCTTAGCAACGAGCCCTTGAACCCGCAGATTTTACTTATATTATATCTAATGTCCCCAGAGATTCTGATGATAGATGAAATATCTTGCTCAGTTGGGAATTGGATGTGTTTTATGCCATCTAATAAGCTGAATAGTTTTAGATACCCAACTGATGTTATTTCCTTACAAAACTCAGAGAAGCTTGTCGTCAGATGGTATCTCAAAATGTAACAAGTATGCTGTGTGCTGGGATGGTGTATCTCACTACCCAAGGTTGACCCTGAAAGGAGGTGGGGGATTATAAAATTTTACTTTGAAAACATAAAAAGAGGACGCCATTGGTAAGTTCTACACAATATTTCTGTCCCCTCATTTGTTTATGTTTCTCCACCTTGTTTTTGCTTTGTTCTGACGGCCCGTTGTCATGCATCTTTGAAAACATAATTCCAGGCGCAGATGTTTCACGGTCTCATTGACACAATTTAAATAATGCAGAAGGCGGGCTGATTAGACCACACTGGCAGAACTAGAAACAAAGTCAGAGCATTAAAACCATGGACACTCGATTAAATAACTCTTCTTTCCGGATTTGACCTCATGCATTTTGCGCACGACCAAGAGCCCACCTCTGGCTGTTGTGCTTCTCTTTATCTAAAATATACCTCAGAGGACGTTCCCATTGACCGTCCAGCGATTTCATTTTGCGGCAAGCTTGCATGACAATTTACGCTTTGCGCCATCGTCAAGTCTAGACATTTAACAATCACGCATTATGCACAGTAATTAAATAACCGTTTTCGTGTCAAACTACCCAGTTTTATTGGCAATTGCGGACGTACTGTGCTATAGTATTCATAGCAAGGTAACCGTACATGTTGCACATTGAATTACAGTGTTACCTACAAATTAATCCAATGTACTTGTTAATAAGGAATAAAAATAATTGTTTTTCGAATACTTCATTATTGTCGGTGCGTTATGCTCGGGTAAAGATCTACAGTGTACGTACTTTGGGAGTATGTGAGCTGACGCGTGTGGGAGGAATACTGTACAATCATATCATTCTTATGTACTCACAAAAAAGCCATTAATCTGTTGTTTTTTTTTCTTTTTTAGAGGAGGGGTGTTCCTTTTAATACTGACAGTCAGAAAGTTAGACATCTACAAGTTGGCTATGCTTTTAATGCTTGTCTAAAACGAAATCACAAGGAAGCGAGAAAAATATTCCATCTGAGACAGGGGCATATACGGGAAGTAGGAGGGGAGCTTCCTTAGGCCCAGCAGGTGGGATCAAGGATCTCTTGTCCTGTCGGCAAGCAGTGGCCAAATCCTCACACCGCTCAAGTGCTATCTTAGCTTCTCTGAAAAATAGCATGTGTCAGTCACATTCATTGCCACCAGTGCTTGACAGAACTGCAGTTCAATCTTCATGAAATTTTCACAGAATGAAGAAAAGATGTTATATCGCCTGTTGAATTTTTTAATATTTGGAATAGCTTTTTGTTTGTGGTGCCATGAGTGTGAATTTTCACGGATTTTTGGCAAACTTGAATGCTATCTCAGAAAAAAATTTATTAAATCAAAAAAAAAAAAAATTCGTTTAGGAAAAAACAACAGACAATTTTTTAAAAATATAATGTTTGTTAACATGCATGCAAAAAAAAAAAAAACACATTTAATTTCCATGAGCAGTAAGTGCGGTATTCATTACTTAAGACATGTCAACAAAATCCAATATGGTCGCCGTATCCATGGAAACGAAACCTTTTTCTCAAATTTGATTGCGGTTTTTAAGACTCCTTACTATGCTTATTATATGTGTGACATTTTTCGTTAAAGGCTTCTATTTCATCAATGTCCATAACACAAGATGCAGACGTGGCCTTCGTAGTTGGTCAGGGCTTACTTCAGGATTATCTGGGGACACACGATTTCGGCACTTGGAAAATTGTTGGATGAAGGCCTCTTCCAGTTGTATGTTCCATTTGTACATTTTCAGGCCAATGCAAGGCGCAGACACCTATAAAATAGGTGATATCCTTTACCTTTAATTTATTAAGGCAGACTCGCCACCAAGGTTTTGCGTTTCTCAATGTCTTTAGGAAATTTGCAGACTGACACCTTCTGAACACCAGGCTGATTTCGATATCTAAATTTACAATTGTACACAGAACATTTCCTCCCCATGTTTACAAATAAAGTCTAGCTCAAATTACTTTCATTCTTTGCACTCGAATTCTTCAACTGTTTCCAAATCGTTCCTTCTTTACAACAGAATTTGTACTGCATGTAACAGAATGTTCGTGTGAAACAACAGAAAATATTGCCAAAAGGCCTGGAAGACACACTGCATCGCTGAATAAGATAACAGGATCAAGCTGGTGCGTAAAATTCTGTTGATTCAAAATCGCATTGGCCGTTATCACCGCTGTGTCACTAGAAGATGCTAAAGATTCATAGAGCCAACAATTGGAGCTAGAGAGACGTTAGCTTTGACAACATGGTCAACTGGAAATACATGGACGTCAGACTGCAACGTAACATCAAGAGAACTTGTTGGGACCAACAGGGCAGAACAAGAATCTAGCTCCTGGAGCTCTCCAGTATTTTTTTAAGTTGGGTGAGTTTGGTCAAATGTGACCACTGGCGAACTTTTTCGGGGCGTTTAACAAGTAACCAGTGGAAGACCTGATGTGTCAAAGCATGACACAGAAATATCTAATTCTGGTGTCTCACGTGTCTTCAATTTCTCTTCCCGATATATCATCAAGCGACAACGATTTGGGGGAAGACTTCTCGCCTTGATGATTAGCACATTTGCAAGATTTCGAAAGTGGCGAAGAATGAGGAAGAAGAGGGTAAGGCAGATGAAAGTGATGTATGATGATGGAAAAGCCC